TTTCCAAAGCCAGCAAAAAAACTCCAGGGAATGAAACTCCACGGTCTGTTTGAAACGTAGCATCAATTATAGTAGTTGAAAATCCCAAAATTGAATAGTCTCACAAAGTAATTTCCAACTATATTGATTAAATCAAATGCAAGTAGAGCTGCCGTTGAGCTGGGTCCTAAACCAATGGAGAAATGTGGGTTACTTCAAGTGAGTAATAACCTTGTAATAATGGTCACAAAGCGTAAGCGATTGTTTAGAAAATCGTAAAAAAAGCGTAAGTACTAAGCATTGAACAAACATTAATTGAAGGACCCAAAAAAGGCGGCTATTTGGGTTTGGGCTAGAGGGGGATCCTTGCAATTTGATTTCTGTGCTTTTATTGCATCAAAGCGGTTGTTGAAGTTGGGACATTTCAGACCTATGACTTCTGTGCTTTTATCGGGTCAGAAATTGGAACGGGTTGAGACCAAACCCAAATAACTCTTTTATTGGTTGGGTTTTTACCCAACCAAAAGCCTTAGCCTAAAGTTCTCAGTATTGTTACTGCAGCAGGCCGCCTTAAATGGCTTAGGCTTGAGGCTTCAGGTTTAGGATTTCAGGGCTTTTATTGGGCTGCGTCAGCAGCCCAAATGTGGTTTTTAAAGATCAAAAATAGAACCAATTTGTGAAATAAAGACTTAGTGCGAGGCTAGCGGCTAGTGCCTATAGTCTGTGGCACCCGTGGGTGGACCAATAAAAGGAACATTTGAGGCTGTGGCTTACATAATATTCTGTTGCACCCACATCGCGGGTCGAACATCCCGGGTAAAAGGTTGCACTCAAAAATACTCAAATTATCTGTTGGTAATAAGATCAATGATAATAATAATAATAATAATAATAACAAAAACAAAATAACTTATGAGAGAATTTAATGATTATTGAAGAGTTCTATTATGGTTTCTGACAGATTTGTGGAGGCCTGTTGGTTAGGTTCAATAAATGAAAATTATGGCTCGTAACAGGCTCTATTGAGATTTATGGAAGATTGGTTAAGATGGCCTTAGTTAAATCAAGTAAACGCAAGCAATTGTTAGTAACTAAGGACAATTGTGATTCGTGAATGAATGATTAATGAAGAGTTCCAATATGGTGTCTGACAGATAGGTGGAGGCGTGTTGGTAATGTTAAATAATTGAAAATTATGGATAATAACAGGTTCTATTGAGATTTATGAAAGCTTTGTTAAGATAGCGTCAGTTAAATCAAGTAAACGGAAGTAATTATTTTTAATAACTCAGGACTATTGTAATTGGTAATAGATTGATCAAGATCTGTGGGAATCTTGTTATTATCAAATGTGGATAAAGTTAATTCATTGGAGAGAATGTTGATGACAGTGTCAGTTCTGCGCTTTGCCGGCACTTTTCTAATTAAATGGTCGGAAAATCCCGAATTCACTATTCTGACCGGAATTGAAGGCACTTTTGTTAGTAAATGCCCGTCAAACGAATTCACTGACAGTGATTCACGGGGTTTGCAGAAATTTTCCCTGATAAATGACCGGCAATCACCGAATTGACTATTCTAACAGTGATTCCCGGGGCTTTGCAGGCACTGCACTTTTCTAAGTAAATAGCCGACAAACCCGGAGTTTGCCGTTCTCACGGTCTGTGCGAGCACTTTTCTTAGTAAATGGCCAGCAAAAACCCCGAATTCTCTGTTCTAACAATGATTTGCCGGATTTGGTGGGTTTGCCGGCAATTTTCCTTGGTAAATGAACGGCAGTCACCGAATTAAATGCTCTGACGGGGTTTGCCAGCGACTCCCTTGGTAAATGGCCGGCAAAACCCCGAGTCCACTCTTCTAACAAAGATTTCCGGGGCTTTGCCGGCACTTTTTTATTGGATAAAAGATAAATATCCGGATAAAGTCTTCTTCTCCATAAAAGCCCCTCATCACCCAATCACTGCCACCACGATAGGCTACTGGATCAAGGAACTTTTGAGTTTTGTGGTGGGGACAGGTCATTTGGAGCTGACTCAACACGGGCTGCCTCAACCTCCAAGGCTGCTAAAATTGGAGCTTCCCGGTAGGCCTTTCAATTAGTGTTAGTCGCATTTTCTTATGGTGCTTTGAGCGGCGGCAAGTTCTAAGGGCGGTGTCGGCAACATCAAAGTAAAAATTTCAAAGTCCAAAAATCTTTTTTGTCAGCGAGCCTTTAGGGGCCCAGCTCGATCTATCTTGACGTTTTACGATATCTCAGAGAAAAAATGACTAAAAATTTGATTTTACACACAAAAACCCGAAACCAAAAAACTCAAAATTTTTCAAAAGAATTTTTCTCGTGAACCGTTTGTCTGATTGTCTCGATCTTTGCACCGTTGGATTCCCCTTAAAATTTTGAGTCTAAGTGGGTCCACACCTGATGACGACCCTCAAAAACGCCTCCTAAGAGGTGAAAAACGCGTTTTTGTGTTTTCATTGGAAAAGCTTCGATTTTTCGAAAATCTCAAATCGTTGCCAGACCCGTCTTGTCGTATGTCAAACAACTCAGTTCGTCGAGAAACACCGAAATATAGCGAAAAAACCGGGGGTTTATCATGGCGGGGTCGAGGACTGAAAAAGTCACACTTTAATTAAAGGTCAAAAAAAAAAAAAAAATTTTTTATCGATTTAGCGCACTCAGCTCGCCCTATCTCGACGGTTTAGGCTATGTCAAAAAAATCCCAAAATCGACTGGTCAGATCTCAAATTCCAGACATGGGATCGACCTGAAAATTGGCCAGAATGCTCCTCTGGGGGGCGCAAGCACAACACCGAACGGGTGTCCCTTAGCTCCCAAAAGTGCCACTTTTTTCCCAGACCCTAAATATCAAAAAAAAAAAAAAAATTTTTTTAATCGACTCAGGGCACTCAGCTCGACCTATCTCGACGTTTTAGGCTATGTCAAAAAAATCCCAAAATCGACATGTCAGATCTCCAATTCCAGACACGAGATCGACCTGAAATTTTGGGAACATACTCCCATTGGGTTCCAAAGCACAACGCCAAACGGGTGTCCCTTAGCTCCCAGAACTCGCTGAGATCCAAAAAATGGGGGTTCAGCCCAAACCCAAATAGACTTAGTGCTAGGCGCTAGCGCTAGCCTAGGCCTTAGGCAAGGCCGTAGAGCTTCGAGAATATTTCGAAAATATTTCCATATAAGGGAATCGTATGCGTAGATTCCGAATTTTGACAAATCAGACCTCGCTGACACGTCAAATTTGGGCTAAAAGGCAAAAACTACGCAACTTAACGCTTTTCCGCAGTTTTTGCCTTTTAGCCCAAATTTGACGTGTCAGCGAGGTCCGATTTGTCGAAATTCGGAATCTACGCATACGATTCCCTTATATGGAAATATTTTCGAAATATTCTCGAAGCTCTACGGCCTTGCCTAAGGCCTTTTCCAGCAAAAAAAAGGTGCGCAAATGTCCAGGTGCGCAAAAAAAAGGTCGCATTTGTCCCACCCCCTACAAAAGTACAAGGAGAAAAAAGCAGAAGTCTTTTATAGTGGCAAATTCGTGCACTCACAAAGAAAGAGATATTCAATTGAACAATTTGAATTTATTTGCACGGTCGTCTTTTTCCGAACGATTCAAAAATGTCTTTCATTTTTCGTTTTTTTGATCTTAGGGGGGGTTGAGTGTAGTGTTAGTGCTTGTTAGCTACATCTTATATGTTATTTAGCACTATAGAGCCAGAGCGCACTAATTTTTGCTTCTAGGGCTTTTAAGGGCGTAGATTCTTAATTTAGTGTTTATTTATTTAAGCTTTAGTGACTGTTTTCTAGCTATTTAAAGCAGTTACTGAGGTTTTAAGCCTCTTAATTCGGTCTCGCACCTCTAAACCCAGTGAAAATAGAGCCTCTTGAAGACTCGGAATTGTTGCTCAAACTGGCATAAAAATTGTTCAGAATAGTTTGTAAATGCTTCCAATGCATTCAGCGCAATTAATTAACCCAGAAACCAGTAGCATGTTCGAAAAAACAGGTGTTTACAAACTACCCCTCCAACTACTATAGCACCAGCACATATTTTGTGTAATATCTAGACTATTGGCCCTTGGTTGTCTATCTTTTTACACGCACCATATTGTTGTTTGTTCAAACCATTTTTTGACTTGTATTTTTTTAGTGATGTACACTTGGAAGCGTAGCAAACAACCAAACGAAAACGACCGGGACCAAGTCGACAGAGGCGGTCGAGAAGGAGGACGTGGACGAGGCGGCGGACGAGGCAACTTCCGAGAAGGCGACTTTCCAGATGGTGGACGAGACTACCGCGAATTTGGACGAGGCGGCGGTCGGTGGGGTGGTGGACGAGGTGGCGGACGTGGAATTCGCGGAGGAAGAGGAGGCTGGGGAGGAGATCGAGGTGGTTGGGGAGGAAGCCGTGGACGATACGATGATGCTCATCAACGAAACCAAGATGACAGCGGATCCGAGAGAGCCAGCATCCCCAACCTGCAGCGAGCGAAGTCACTCTCAACGGATTCGGATCTAGCCGAACGCATGGAATGTCTTAGTGGTATGGCTTAGGTGAACTTTTAGAGATTTAGATCCTTGAATAGTATGAGGCATTAAGTCTTGCTTAGTTTAACTTGTCATAATAATCTATAGGTTTATGCTTAGGTTTAATAAGGAGTGAAATTAGATCATTCAATAAGATTTGTTCAGGGGGAATTGCTTCCTTAGCTAGCAGCTGCGAGTCGATAGTTAAGATTATTGTATTGTAGTCACCTAAGCAATCAACGTTAAAAAAGCGCGGTGATTTTCAGATACAATTTTCTTAGTTTCGAGCACATCCGACGGAACAACGACTTATTCTACAACTGAAGAGGAGGTGCTCAGTGTTGTCTCGGAATCTGAGTTCAAGTCAAGCAATTCTCAACTCGATTTGCTCTCGCAAGGCGAAGCTGCCGACCCATTTGCTCCAATTGTGTACGCAGAGAAGATTCATCCACGGATTGACCCAGCTAACCGAACTGGAATGGAAGTGGTGAGAGTTAACGTTTATATCATTCAATTCTCTTCGTTGTTTAGGTGAAGCTTGCAACAAACATCTTTCCGATTCGTACCGATCCAAATCGTGAGGTCTACCGCTACGACGTGAGTGCTGACTTGGTGACGGGAGTTGAAACAAGAAACAGGAATGGAGGAGTGATCTCAATGAATCGAGGACCAAAGGATGAGTAAGGAGTGCTTTTATTTTTGATTTCAACCTTCCGATTTAGTACGCTGATGACTCGTCGTTCGGAAGCAGTTCGTGCCGCTCTCAAAGCGGCTTTGGAGGCTTATCGTATTCTCAGCGAAACTGGTGTTACAGTCTTCGATGGAACTACTATCCTTTTTTCAAACGAAGACCTCGCTATGGCTCTGAAACCGGTTTATCTATGGTTTCTTAACATTCTGATTTGTTATTTAGCATAACGGCACTCTCACTCTGCCTGTAGCACAGCTCCATCCAAACATCAGGTCCATCCTTGTTTCAGGAGAAGCAAAAGAAATTCGAATCACCATTCGCCCTTGCACGTAAAGTTTTTGTTTTTAATAAACAAAAACGATATTTTAGTGATTCGGCTCATCACTTCACTATTGGAGATGCGGAAGCGAAGATTGCCAACGGAGAAAGTGACCGTCCTCTTCGACAATTTTATGAATTGCTTACTAACGAAGGAGCCCTCAAAAAGTCAGTAACCTAATTTTTATTGAACTCGCTTCTTTAAGGGGAAGTTATGTCTTCTATGGGGCAGGCAAGGCTTTTTTGAATATCGACAATATGGATACTTGCTACAATATTGGAAATGGACAAGAACGTCGCCAGGGTCTAACTAAGGTTGCTTTTCAATATTTACTTATACGAAACTTTTCAGGGGAATCCGCTTCATTGAAGGCGCCGAGTACAAGGAAACCACGCCAGATGCTCGATTAGTGGCGGCCCTTGTATTGGATGCGAAGATTGGAACTTTTTACAAAGCGAACGGACTTGTTGAAACAATGTAAGAAACATTTGCTTGATCAATAATATCGATTTTCAGCGCTCAACTGAACAGATGGCAAGGCGTTCATCAAGTTCAATGGGATCCGGCTGCAATCAAAAGGACAAACACTTATTTGCGCGGTAAATATTTACCGCTATTTATTTAGATCATGTAATCTAGGTCTACGTTTGGAGGTCGCCAATTCAAAGAACAGCTTCATTTGTGCCGGACTTGATTATCGTGACGATTGTGGTCGACTGAGCTTCAGGACGCTTTTTGATTGTGAGGAGGCAATGTCACCACACAGCAGACGTCTAATTCCATCGATGGAAAAATATGAAAAACAAGGAATGCACGTTCAGTAAGCTTTATTTATGCTTCAAAAATGTTTGTCTTTAGGTTTCCCAAGTGGCCTGTGGTGGTTCAACGCGGAAAAGGAAGAGGCAAGGACTCATTCTTTCCGATTGAAGTCCTACGAGTCGCACCAAATCAGCGTGTCCCATTGACGAAGTTCCTCTGCAATCCAGAGAAGGCCAGAAAACCCGATGATCGTTGGAATCTGATCAAAAATCATCTCGACGAGCTTGATCTTTCAAGGAACTCTCCAATTATGGCTGGGTAGGTTCCATCAAATATTTAGGTCGTCTAAAGTTACCTTTTAAGATTTGGCATCTCTGTTGATTCAAAGCCTTTGCAAGTTACTGGCTTCCGTCGACCTGCTCCGAAAGTTCAATATGGCGAATCGAGATCTGTGCCTACAGATTTAAAGAAAGCTGACTGGAAACAGGTAAAAGAAACTTACACTGAGGGCGCTGTTGTGGACAAGCTGTATGTTAAGTTACAATTCAAAACCGCTTTTCGCTCTGCATTTGCACAAGTGCATCTTTGCATTTTAGTTACATTGCATGGAATGAAAATCCACGAGTTCTACCACAAATTCAAGCATTTGCCGAGCGCTTCAAGATCGAAGCGGACCGCAAAGGAATAACAATTCGCTCACTTGAAGTCGAAAATGCGCCAACAAATCTTGACGATGAAGTTCGAACTGGAAATCTATTTGCCAAGGTCGTCTTAATTGAAAGTAGTGGCTTAATCATCTATTATTCAGGCAAAGAATCAACGCAAAATCCTCGGTGCAAAAGCTACGATCATGATCATCTACATTTCAAGTTTGTTGCTTCTTGCTTTAAACAAAAAATCTTTTAGACAAGTTCGTTGATCCTGCTGGCCGAATTCCAGAAACGAGGTCTCATGGGCTCCTGAAATTCTTGGAAGCGAAACATCAAATTGTAATGTCGTAAAATTGTAGCACACAACGTCTAATTTTAGGTGACGCAACATCTGGCAACGGAAACTATCCTCGGCAAAAAGCAATACGACAACTCAATTAAGCCGATGGATAATGCGACTATGGAGAACATTCTCAACAAGTTCAATTTGAAGGCATTTGGATTAAATTATACGATTGTGCCGGAGTCTTTCGCGTGAGTCATTGTTTGTCTCTCTTAATAGTTTGTTTTCAGAAAAGATCACTGGTTTGGATCAACGCTTATTATGGGTTATGACGTCTGCCATCCAACCGGCCAGACAGTCGGCGAACGTGCTCTTGGCTTTGCTGTTGAAAATCCATCCGTGGTTGGGGTAAGTAAATCAAGAAAGTTTGCCTTAAAGATTTGCTTTAGTTTGCACACAACGGCTGTGAGAATCGCGATGCGTTTGTCGGTGATTTTGCATTTCAAGAACCTCTCCGGGAACGGGTTGATGATCGCCTTCTAAACGCAAGGACGAAATGGATGCTGAAGTGGTGGCAAAAGCGACGGGACCCCAAATTGCCGGAAAATTTCTTTATTTTCCGTGATGGAGTCTCGGAAGGACAATATGAAATGGTTAGCGACTTTTATTTTGCTATCAATTATATTTTTTGTTTAGGTTTTGAGTCAAGAATTGGGTGCCATTCAAGAAGCTTGTGATGAATACGAAGTTGGATACAAGCCAAATTTTTTGCTGGTGGTAGTAACGAAGGTGAGGGGAAACTTTTTGGTCATAACAGTTTCAAAGATACTTTTAGCGTCATAACAAACGCTTTTTCAAAGAGGGAAGTAATGGAGCAGTTGGAAATCCCGAGGCCCTTACTGTGGTTGATCAAGAAATCGTCAGGACGGATCTGACTGAGCTTTTTATTCAGTCGCATCACGCAATTCAGGTTAGTTTAGTTTCAGAGCGTTATCCACTTACATTGTGTTGTGTTTAGGGAACAGCAAAGGCGACTCAGTATGTTCTTCTCTACAGCTCGGATCCATCAATTACGCAAGATACTCTTCAACCCTTGATTCTGGCTCTCACTTTCCAACACCAGGCATTAAAGCTTTATGAAAATCAAATATTTTTTATTTAGATCTGCAATATGCCTGTCTCAATTCCTGAGCCTGTTTATCAAAGCGGGCAAAGGGCAAAGCGAGGTAAATAAATACAATATTTTTTAAATGTTTTTATTTAAGGCAGTGAATTGCTGAAAACATATCGCGATCTGAAGTTCCCGCTGGCTAGGAAAAATGGCGGAGATGGACGTGACAAAAGACAACCGGTGAGAATGTTTTTTATTGTAGTTCACTATTGAGCTTTAGATTGACTGGGAAGAAATGACCAAGCGTCTCGGTTATATGAACAAGCCTTTGGATGGTGTTCGAGCGAATGCATAATGTTGTTTCTATTTTATTTTCATTATAACTTTAATTCCGCTCATTCTGTATGTTGGTGAGCTTAAATGTGTTGTGGTGTATTTTTGGCCAGTTCGGTTTACAGTTGTTCGTTAAATGGTTATTTGATTTTTGCGCAAAGCACATTAATGAATTGGCAAACTGAAATCATTCGAATTCAAGTTTCAAAATGGCTTTGAGGAGATCAATTTCGGAGATTTTCCGGTCGTCAAGAGGGCTTTGGAATTTGGATTGTGCCAAATAATGTTGGTCTAAGAGCAGACTTTCTCTGAAAGATCCGGTTGTGTGGAAAATCATGTAGATGTTCTGGGACATTTTCATTTGCAAGATTTGAGAAAGTTTGGTTACTTGTTTTTAAGGCTGGGTAGGGAAACAACTTTCCTACTACTTTTGCCCCTCATAACCTGTAACTACTTGCTGACAGCACTCTGGAGAAACATTGGAAATGTCTGATTTTTTGGAGGTAGAAAGGCGGGTAGTCAAAAAGGGCGACGGCTCGATGATGCGGCTTAGTCAGTTTAGCTAAAGAAACGTACATTGGTGTCAATAGATAAAAGATCAATAGATACACTCTCGTATTTTCTTGAAAGTGAACCAAAACTGGCTTAAAAAGATTGGGAAATTAAACAATAAACACTTTATTTTGAGCAAATCATAGGTGAAGTGGTGAATTCGTGATTTTTCAACGGAAGTACGAAAAGGAATGAAAAGACTTTCTGAACAGCCTAATAAATGCTTTTATTCACTTTTCACTTTTTCAACTTCAACTTCAACTTTTCAACAACTTTCAACTCTCACTTTCACTTTCACTTTGTGTTAGGTGTACGATTTTTAATTTTTGGTGAACAGCTTAATGGTTCTGCGTGCAAATTAACATTCGAAAATTAAAATTGATAAATTCGGCTTCAAATTTCTTCATCAAAATTTTTTTATTTCCTTCCGACTTTTCTTGCAATGTGGTCACGCAAATTCCTCAAGTTTTTCAAATTCGACGATGAGAAGAGAAAGAAACTCAGGAAGCGATATAAATGGAACATTTGCATCGATTTCTTCTTCACAAGGTTACTATCAGTTTTTGAGAGTATCCCATGTTCTACGCTTGCTGATAATTCAATTCTTTTTATTTCATAGCTTTACTACTTTTTAATGTAGCCTTATTACTTTTTTAAAAAGTTTAGTGAATCGACTGACTACGCAAAGCTTCGTTTCATCGTGAACCTTTTCATCGGTTTTTTCCTTTCAATTGGTGAGTTTCATTTGTTTTGTATTTTTATGAATCAACTCTTTCTAGGTTCATATTATCTCGTCTGGAAAAATATCAACTTTGCCATCGAATATCACAAAGTATCGTCAATCATTCTAAAATGGATTGTAATCATCGGAAACACGCTAGCTTTTGCCTATAGCAAGGTAGAGTTTATTCCGTTTCAGTTACTTCAGTTACTTACTCAAGTTTACTTTTTAGTCGTATCGTTGTGGACTATGGATCTTTGTCCTAGGCGCTTTTGGCACAAGTGGACACGGTGGGGAACTTCTTTGATTTATGATTGCCTTCTTTTAGAGCTATTGAGCATCTTTGTGTTCGACAATGTTCGCACTCGTCCAATCGACAACATCATCACGAATTTCAAGTAATCTTGTAATTTACTATAGCTAATCCATAAGTTCTAGGATTGCCACCGACAACTTGGTTTGCGGAGTGAAAGTCTCGACGGAGGTGAAAAACATCTTTAAATGTTTACTTTTCTTCTTAAGTTGTGGTCTGCACGAAGGAAGACACGGATGGGACCTATGCGTGAAACGCTGAAAGACACGCTGAGTAAGTTATAAGCTTTTTAGATAATCAGTTCTTTTGCTTTGTTTTGTTTAGCCAAAATTCTCGAGTTGAAGGAAGACCTTTCGTTCGTTGATCAGAAAGAAGTAAAAGGTATGGTAATACTTCGATTTTGATTATGCTTATTGTTGTTGTTGTTGTATTGTTATTGTTGTTATTGTTATTGTTTAGAAAGTGATGATGAAAAGTTGAGTCGAATGATTGATCAATCGGCTTTGGTAGGGTTTGTTGATAACCATTTAAGGATGCTTTTCTTAGGATTTGGCACAACGAGCAAACATTTTCAATGAGGATAATCGAACGGTCACTTTTCGCAAGCCATTTTACACGAAATTCAAGGAAAAGGTGTCAACTTTTTCGGCGATAAATAAACTGACTTTCATTTTAGTTTGTACGTGATATGGGCAAAAAGATGGAGCAGCAATGTACGCAAATTTTCGATAAAGGGAGTCTCATCTGTTCACAAGCTTTTGCTGCATTAAAAGTGATTTTTCTGATAGAAAATGTTATTGTTTATTGTTTAGAAACAATGTCAACAACAAGTGCCGTTCTTGTTGAGCACTTTAATTTGCAAGCCGCTTGACGCTTTGGATATTTGTGAGGTATGTTACCCCGTACTTTTTTGAGACAATGAGCAAATTCAGAGTGATAAACGAAAAGAACAAGGCTACGACGTATGCAATAGTGTGCTAGGAAAAAATTCGCCACAAGATTTTGAACAGTATGTTTTTGTTTGGCAAGCTAAATGTTTGGCTTTTAGAGAAAGCATCGATATGCGTAACATTGCAAAGCAAATTGCTGAAGAAATGGAGACAAAGGTGGGGTTTTCTTGATGTTTGGTCCTTGCATATATTCCTTTTAGATTCGAGTGGTAATGGTGGAGGCACCGAGAGTTGCATCAACTCTTCACATAGAAACCCTGCAAGCAAAAATTCGTCAGCTGATGCAATTAGCAAAGGTACATTCAAACCTTCATTTATAAGTTTGTTAAAAATACGTTTCTAGAAACATTAACCAACCTTTAAACATGTTGATCACTGTTAATCTTAGGACCTTTTCAAATCTTTGCAAAGTGTTCTCGTCGCCCTTCTCGTTTTGGCCATCTATCTCGATTTTGACAAAGCTCTCAAGATGTCTGATGCGTACACGAATGATTTGGGCTTCGAAAATCGGAGTATTACCTCGTGAGTTGAATAGAATAATAGAACTAATAAGTTTTGTATGTTAAGTGCTTTCCGCAAAATCGATCATGAGAGGGAAACGAGAAATCAAAAGGCTCTTCCATTTATTGGAAAGTTATCGAGCTTGGAGAAACGGCAGTTAGGGATTACCGGCCAATATGTCAGGTTTTGATTTACGATGTTGCTCTCCTAAAAGTCTCTTTATTTTAGGTTTCCAAAATGGGAAGAATTAAACCAACTCTGGTTAACCGTTTCGAAATTTGCGACTCTTTGTGTGGTGTTGATAATAATTGTAGCCGTTGATCATTTGCTTTATCGAGCAATGAATGTTGTTAGTGCCTATTTTTTACCTTTAATACCTATCTTTTAGATATTTGAAGGGATCCCGAAAGACGTCAACAGCACACAATTACCGACACTTCATTTAAACGTCAGTTTAGAGTTAAAGTGTAGATTGCTAATTGTTTTCTCACTTTAGGTGACGGGCGTGGGGATCTTCCCGAAAATGCTGCGGAAACTCTTCCAACTTAAAAATGAAACCGTTCATCCGATTTTTGTTTTGGATGATTGCTTGGTTTGTTTTATTAAAAACAGATTATTTTGATGCTTATAGCTTGTGATTTTTCCTTTAGATAGAGCCATCTCGACCCGATTATGAGTATGTGGGTACGATTTTCCTTCCATTCCTTTTGCTCTTCTTTTTCGAGGTTGATTTGGTTATTTTGCTGAAAGATTTACTTTTCTAGATTTTGCTTGCATTTTTACCGAAACGAGTGATCTTGTTCTGCGTCTTGCCCTATATGTTTCCCCGAAAAGCCCGTGCTCGTGTGATTTGGCTCTACAACTTGGTATGTTTGTTGACTAAATTTTTTTAAGTTAAATTACAAAAGTCTGAGCATGTAGATGAAAGGCTAACTGATTTTAATCAATAATGATTCTTTGACTTTTTAGTGTTTGAAACATCGTTTGATTGCTCGTGAAGAGGCTCGTCGACGCATTGCTTTCTTCGTCAAATGGCGAAAAGAACGAAAAGGAGAGAAAGATGAGGAAGATGAGGACGATGATGATTTGTAGTAAAGCTTTTGATATGGTGAATAAATTCATCTTTTATTTTAGCTTCTGTTTCGCGAAAAACTCATTGATACGCCGCGTGATCGTCGACAATTTGTACAGGCCATTTGAGTGTTTCTTATGTCAAGTAAGGTTGCTTTTCGGGTTATTTTTTCCATTTCACAAATTTTAGACATATCTTCGCGCGTGGCAAACACACAAATGTGAACAATGCCCTGCCACATATTGCAAATTGTGTTGGACAGAGCTGACGGAGAAATGCTACGCTTGTCAGGTACGTTTTAAAAGCTTTGTTTCGAACTTTACTCATCACATTGTTTTAGGTGGAACACCAAGAAGCTGCGATCGACCCGTAAAAAAATAAATTCCATTAAGATTTTCCTGATTGTAATAAAGAACTTTTATTTTAGCCATAAGAAAAAACTTTCTCTGCATCAGTACATGTCAATGAAAGACGATTCTAAAATTGAATACAATTATTTATTTACTCTTTTCAAGTCGATTGAAAAAAAACTTACAATATTTGGCGGATTGATGCGAAAATAGGGACTTCTCGTAGCAAGACACCAAGCGGCTGCTTGATCAAGACATGCTGAGTCGCCGCTTGTTGACTAAAATGAAATGATTGAAATCGCCAGATTTTACAAAAAATACACGCACTTGGCTAACAAAAACGTCAAAGAGATTCTTCGTCGTGCGCATAAAATCTAAATGGAAATGATTCAAAAAGTTAAAGATCCAATAACTGTCCACTTGATCAAAACTTACGCCGATCGAAGAAAACGCGATTCTTCGGCAAATCTCCAAAATGAATTCCACTTGCGCGTCTCGCCTCGTTGTAGCCAGTGCCTAATGAAAGGAATAGTGAAGGAGTTGGATGGCGGGCGGCTTTCTAAAGAATAAACATGATTCATAAACAACAATTCAGCTCACCGCATAAAATCGATGATATTCGGTCAAGAGGGCGAGGCTGGGATTCTTTGCGAGAACTCCTCCATCGGAGAGACCGAGTGGAGAGACGGGAAGTAGTAGAGGAGCCGCTCTAAAACGATAAAGGAAAAATGATAAAGTTCAACAACGACCAAACAAACGTTGATGCCATAAGTGCGTCGACGATTTCCACCTCCCGATGATCCTCGTCTGTCCGAACTTCGATGGGGAAATTCCTGGAAATAAAAGTTTAGGCAAAACATTGAAAAGTAAGACCGAAAAACGAGCAGTCTCGGTGGTATCATGGCTCAATCAACATATGTGCAGACGAATCTGGAACAAAACATGAATTACCGAATTCAAACTAAACGTCTTGTCGATATTCTTTTGATTCTTACTTTGCTTCGATATCGCCAAGCCGGGACGTTCCAACATGTTCGCGAAGAGATTTGTGGAGAAGCTAAAGAAAAGCTTTGAAAGAATCGGGAATGTTTAAGTTAACAAATTATACTTTAGAGTATAGTTAATCTTTAAGATCAATTCTAAGAAAATAAAGACCTCTCCCCGAAAAGAAGGTTTCTTGAGTTTCGGATGAAAGATGGCGCGGGTTTCGGCGAGAAATGACCCAAGGTTTGTATCCGGCGATTGAGACCCTAAAAAGATAAAATTTTAAAATTATAGTCAACACCTATGATCTAGATATACAGTGGTCAAAAAGTCCTGATACCTTTTCAAAAGTTATTTATTTCTAACAAAATTCAGTATCGAGTTGGGCCTCCTTTAGCTTTTATAATCTCCTGAAGTCGGTTTGGCATACTTGCGATCAATTTTTCCGTAGTTCGTTGTGAAATTGAGCTCCAAATAGACTGAACTGACAAATGGACTGATATCCAAATAGTCTCAAATCTCATTTTTTGTGGCAAAGCGGAATTCTCGCAATTTTCGTTTGATGTTTGGACTCATTGCTACATTTGCGTAAGAAAGCATATAATTTTGCATCATATCCCGATATTTCACACTGTCCATGAATACATCTATGAGGATTAGAGGTCCAACTAACTTTGAAGAAAAACATCCCCAACACCGAATCCCTCCTCTACTGAGTTTGACAGTCTGTCGAATGTATTTCAAGTTGTATCGTGTTCCAGTGGGTCTCATGATGGTGTAGTTGCCATTACTGCTGAACAAATTGAACTTAGTTTCATCACTCTACAAGACACGTTTCCAGTCATCGATCGAGCAATGTTGGTAGGTGGGGGCGAATTCCAAACGGAGCCTCGAGTGTCTAAGAACCATCAAAGGTCGTCGTGAAATTTCAGTCGATTTCGAATCGTTTGCGAAGTTACATCAATCCCAAATTCCCTTTTTAAGTAACTTTTCCCGTCTGTGACTGTAAAATCCGGAGCCGAGGCGAAGAAATGCCGAAGTGCCCGGCCTTGTCGAGACGCTGTTTTTGGTTGTCGGGCTTTTTTCTTTAATCGGTGCATTTCCACGTTCTTCCGATTGCAGAGCCTCCATATTGTCATCTTCGAAACGGAGAAGAGGTTTTGAATCACACTGACTTTGAGTCCAACTTTTCGAGCTTCAACGATTCGCTCCTTTGTGGGACTGTCGATGTATTGCTTGCACGGCATCTCTAAAAAGAAACAATATCAAAAATTAGCAAAGCTCTAACGTAAAAAAAAACAGGAGCAAAAGAGAAAAGGTATCAAGACTTTTTTGCTTTGTTTCTTTTATTTTTTATTTTTTGTACATAAATAGTTTTTGCAAAGAGCATATTTTATGTGAATTTTTGATGAAAGGCGGAGAGACAATTCTCGAAGAGCCTAAAGCGAATAATATTAGGCTATCCAGAAAGTCTTTTAGTTTCTCTTCGTACTTCCGTTGAAAAATAACAAATTCACCAATTAACCTATGGTTTCCTCTAAATAAAAAGGGTTTAGACAAACTCGAGAATGAAAACGTGTTTTCGAAAAAATCGATAAAAACCTCTACGAAGAAATTGGCTGAAAGAATTTCTCTGAAGGCTTTCAACCAAAAGACAAACGGGCAACCAAGAATTGTTTTTGCACGTTTTTTGCACGCTTCCAAAAAAATCCAGACATTGACAAAACCTGTTTTAATGTTATTTGGCAGAAAAATAATTGGTTTTTCTAATGGAACAGTTCAATTGGTGCATTTGTTGGTTTTAAACGGAAGTACAAAAAGGAACAAAAAGACTTTCGGGACAGCCTAATCTACCATTTATAGGCCAACTAATTACGCCAATTTTTATAGATTTTGGATCATATTAAAGGAGGCTTGCTAAAAAAATCTTCATTAAAACCTCCAACCATAATCTCGGCGGCTCCTTTGATCGGCGGCTCCTCCATCGAGTGCGACGAGTCGAATCCCTCAAACGTTCCTCAATGAGCTCTTCGTTTAGATCACTAAAAATGAAATTTAACAAGAAACAATAGATAAAAGCTAATAGTAAGCTGGTACTATCTAAAAGCTAGCACAAGGGACAACCATTGAGCAGCCAACGATCAGCCGGTTCCTTTGGTTTCTCCGTTGAAAAACGAACAGCTTCGAGTTTGAACGAAAATGAGTAAGCCTTTCGCTTGACTTTTGCTCTTAGACTTTTTTGAATTCGGCATTACCTAAGAAAGAAAAATTAGTAACGCAATAAAATCTGAAAAACATCGGAAAAAAAAGACGAAACGGAATAAAACTACACTTTCGGGTTGACTTTTCGTATTTCGGATACAATAATTTTAGCGAAAAATAGAAAAGAAGTGATACTTCGAATAAAAGATCGGTGTTATATTCAACCTGGTCTTCTCTTTTTTCGATCACCCTCTAGATCTCGTCTTCTATTAAAGGCGGTCTTCTATTCGAAGAAATACGGTAGACAAAACATAAACAATAAACAAAACAAACCAAAATTCTCGGACGCCATTTCCGGACCCATTTTCGTTTTCATCACTAAGCAAGATAGTTTGAAAACTATTGTGTAAATAATTAAAAACTTATCTTATTTCCCGTTCATCATCGTAGTCTTTACTAAACATTGAGGCAAATGGAGTACTTCTGATTCCATAGTGGTATCTTCTATTTTTCATGAGCTATTGTGAATCTTCATTTCGGCAGTTTATTTCTGAATAAAGTATTCATATATAAAAACAAAAATATGACTACTCAGATACTGCACTGGTACTGCAGTTGATCGTAAAAGCGCTGAAATTTGTCTTCTCTTTCTTCCATTAACTTCTTTTGAGCGATTTATTAAATAGGAAAAAGAAAAAATGTATGCTTCCATTAAAAAAATTCTTTTTGAATTGAATCATTTTCCAGACACCACATAGACCTTTAAATTCCGAATTTCGACTTTCAACCTGACAACTTCATTTTATTCATAATTTTTTAGTATTTATTTGAACAACTTCTCGTTTTTTACTGAACTTTATCTTTTTACAATTCACATTAGATAAATTTGCTTTTCAGTTGGCTGTAAATGAAGAAAGAATTCTTTCTTGTTTGTGACGTTTTCTTCACTGGCACAAATTGTGACAGCAAATGAAGGTCCGTTTGTTTCGATCGATTACTTTGTTCTTTTTTTTGTTACCCAACTCGTCTACTGGCTCTTTTTTTAGAATGGATGCAAGAGTGCAAGAACCAGAGTGAAACCATTCAAATTCATTCGGCTGGTGGCAACTGGAGAAACCTTACGAGTGATGAGACGTCTAAGTGAGCGTGTTTCGTGAAAACTTTCCCGGGCTCCGCCCGGTGAAAACCTCGATGAGCTCGGACTCGATCAAATGCTTGCCCTTTTTTCTTTTCTTTTTTTTTTCTTACCCAACTCGTCTAATGACTAATTTTTTAGAATGGATTGAGAAAGAGTGCAACAGCCAGAGTGAAAAAAATTGTCATTCATTCGGCTGGAATTCATGGCTGGAAACTTTTCGGCTGGAAACTTTCGGCTTTTCGAGTGATGTGACGTCTCAGTAAGAGTTGTTTGGTGAAAGATTTTCCGGGCCCGGCACGGTCAAAGCCTCAATGAGCTTAGACCCGATTAAGGCTTGCTCTGAGCCATAATCCGGCCCTTGCCTCAGGGCTTTTTGGTCGCTAGAGAAAACCCTTCTCATTTTATCTTCATCTCTCAATTACAGTCAATATTATGGGCTCTATCGAACGTTCACGTGCACTGCTGATCCAGACCATTTCGCGCTTGTTCGAGTGGGAGTTTTATTTTCAGTTTATCCTCAAAAACGTTATTCAGATCAACCACAAGATGGATTTTCCGTCAGACACAAAAACTATCACCTGTGGATCTCTGTCGGATGCTACACGAGCCCACAGGCGAGTTGTTACGTTTAATTAAAGCCCAAGGTTTAGTTAAAGGTATTAAAGGTAGGCAGGCATTTGAAAATTTTCCCGAGAA